AACATTCACGACAACGTATAAATGAATAACATTCATAACAAAATTAAATCAAAAACAACTAAATGACACAGCATAACATGTGACACTGTCAGTAGACCAGAAAAAACATAGGCGCAATATAACATAACATCAAAACCACATCAACCAAAAATTCACCAGCAAAACCTCAAACGAACACCGACATTACATACAACAATTTCAACAACATTACGTTAGCAATCACAGCAAACAAACAACAACATCACCCCCACCAACAACAACAACATCATCATCAACAAACAACAACACCACCAACAATTTCAACAACATTTCACCAAAAAAACAACCCTAACCCTAACTACCAACAACAACAACATCATTAACAAACAACAACATCACCAACAATTTAAACAACATTACACCAACAAATAACAACAACATAACCACCACCACCAGCAACAAGATCAACAACAACAATTTCTAGGTGATTGCTTAACAATTGATGGACCTCTACCACACGAAGTGTGCCAGAAAACCGTTGTACAGATGTCATGGTCGATGATGCTGGGTTCGTCTCGTTTTGGTTTCGTTATTATTATTATTACTATTATATTATTATTATTATTATTATAAATAGATTTTTAAATATCTCCAGTTGATTTCTATAATGACTTTAATCTTTCATTGTTTAAAATTATATGGCCGGTTTCTTTTAACGACGAGTCGATAGAGACTGTTATAAGGTTATCATACGGCATTCATTGCGACAGAAACAATTTATGATATAAATTTGAATACATTTCACCGCTCTGTACTTTAATTTGAATTGAGCACAATGGTTTTATATTGACATTTTATTATTTTACCATTTCATAGTTTTAATTATTTATTACCCTGGCTTTGAATAAAAGAGTTCTCGTTATTATTATTATTTTCAAAACCAAGTTCCGATAAACGTTTGGTTCGTTGAAACATTTCAATGAGTTGAGAATTGAAATATAAACTACATAGAATGAAATGATGAGAAAAAATTATTACATAATAATGTTAATGTTGGTGGGATCATTTGCGACAGTTCGATTCGATTTCAATTCGATTCGACTATCGAAATTGAATGTTCAAACTAAATATTTTTTTAATAACTATAATATTAATATTTATTATCATGTGGATTTGAATATGCAAATATACGGTGATCATTTCAGGTTGGTTCTCACTGCTGGTCATTGTTTGGAAGGCCATCACGTGGCTGTATTTATCAAGGCTAGTTGGTTAATTGATTGATATGTTGGTTGAATGGTTGGTTAGTTGGTTGGTTGGCTGATCGATTGGATGATTGATTGGCTTGTTAATTATTTGATTAGATAGCTGATTAGTTGGTTGGTTAATTGATTGGTTGGCTGATTGATTGGCTGTTGATTGGTTGGTTGATTAAGTGACTGCTCACTTGAATAGCCTTCAAAATGACTGCTCGCTTGAATAGCCTTTAATTGGTGAATATGTTCACTGAAGTTCTGTTTGATGATTAAACATTATTCCCATTCATTCATTCCAGTTGATCTCTCCATAAGCACCACAATTTTTTGTAAAAACACCCCAACTACTTTTTATATTAGAGTTTTTATTAATATTTTTTCTCCAAAATTAATTATATTTTATTATTAATAATTTTCTCATAAACAATTTTCTATCAATTTTTTCCCTCCCTCCCTCTCTTTCTCTCTCTCTCTCTCTCTCACACACATACACACACACACAGTACATGTGAATACGTATGAATCGACAAGACGCGTTACATTAAACGTTGTTGGCATGCATTCGAACAAGGTCATTGCTACAACGGAGCCCGGCAACTTATCCGCAACACTATCTTGCTACTGATCGAATTTCAGCGAATTATTGTTGTTACTAAAAGCGGTAACGATGATGTTGGTATTGTTTGCAATTGACAGGTGCTACAGGCTGGAAAAGTCGAAGTCGATTGTTTGAGGTACACACAGTATTTTGGAAGTGCGTGAACGAACAAACGAACGAACGAAAGAACGAACGAACGAACGAACGAATGAATGAATGGATGACGAATGAGCGAATGAGTATATGAACAAACGAACAGTTGGATAAAAGAACAAAATAGAAAATAATTAAAAAAATTTACGAATGAAAACAAGACAAACATAAATGAATTAGTGAAAGAATGGAAACTAACAAATGCCAAGATAGTTGAAAAGTTATTTACGTGTGCGTGCGTGTGTGTGTGTGTATGTGTGTTTGCTTGTCTGTCTGCGTGTATGTGTCTGTTTGTGTCAGTTTGAGTCTGCGTGTGAACATTTATCCCAAAAATTTTTTAAATTTTTGATCTGACTGTCATCTTTTACGTACGTTATTCATTTGTTCAATTAAATTCTCTCACTTGTTGCATTCCACATTCCACTTGTTGCTAGTTGAGCAGGGATGGATATTTTCATCTAAACGCATACCACGGCTTCAGTTCTTTTCAATCAGCCATTCAGTTACTTTATAATTATTTAATATAATAACTTATTGTTATTGTTGTTATTATTATTATCATTATTATTGTTTTCAGTATCATTATCATTGTAAGAGATTGTGTGTGTGTATATATATATATATATATATATATATATATATATATATGTTGGTAATAGACCATAATTTTTACAATATTCTATAAATTCTACCGAATGTTTAATAGACCATAATTTTTACAATATTCTATAAATTCTACCGAACATTCGGTAGAATTTATAGAATATTGTAAATATATATATATATATATATATATATATATATATATAACTTTACGTCAGCAGCTAGCCGTGTTTTTAATTCACGACGAGTTAATATTTTGAAAAGTGTAAAGGAAAATTAAATTAATAAGTTTTTCAATCAATCAATCAATTAGCATATAAAGCGCTATTTCCGCGATGTTCAACAGCGCTCCTCAATGAATTTTGATAGCAGATGGGTCTTGAGATCCTCTCTAAACTTTGTAAGTGATGGAGAAGTAGTCAGAGAAGTAGGTAGAGAGTTCCAGAGAAAAGGGCCAGAAAAAGCAAAAGAAGATTTAGCAAAAGAGTGTTTAACACGAGTTAAGAAGAAACAAGAATAAGAAGACGATCGTAAACTGGGGCGTTTAGGTTCAATTAATATACTTGATAAGTACTTAGGAAGTAAATTAGATTGAGACTTATACATAAACGTGCAAATTTTAAAAATTATTCTATATTTTTTAGGTAGCCAGTGCAAGAGAACAAGATATAGAGATATATGAGAAAAGAGAGGGACTCGAGCAACTAGACGAGCAGCAGAGTTAAAAGCTTTACTTAAAGGATAGAGTATAGAATCAGGAAGACCATAGTAGAGCGAGTTACAATAATCAATCCTAGATAAAACTAACGAAGTAACAAGGAGAAGAGTAGGATCGTCAAGAAAAGGCAAAAGTTTTCAGTGTTTTCTGATAAATATTCGAAGAATATAGGTTTGAAAAATTGTAATTAACTAGTTTGATGAGCTAACGATTTATTTTATCTACTTATCAACATAATTCCTCTACAAGGGGCTATATACAACACATACTCACATACACACACACACACATACATACACACACGCGTGCACACACATCCATACAGACATACATACGCATACACACCAGTTGTACATATTTTAACATTATTTTCGTTTGTCCAATACCCTTTCACAGCATTATTCTCTTCCGTTTGAATATTTTTAACATTCTTACGGACGTTTTTCAATTTTTCAATAAGGAAGAAAACATTTTTTACAACTCTGCGTATTTATTTCTTGTCAAGTTTTTTTTTCAAAAAGCAACTAAGAACAGAATTAATGGAATAATTAAACGTGAAATAATTAAACTAATCATTAAATTAATCAAACAAATAATCAATAGATAAGTTTATCATTCGTTTAGTCATAATCGTCATCGTTATTATCATCACTGTTGTCATCATCATCCGTCCCATCATCATCGTCATCATCAATTAACATCATAATGATGATTACGATCATAATCGCTGTCAATGTCATCATCATCATCATCATAATCGTCATCATCACACTATCATCGTCGTCGTCATCATCATCAATGCCATCACCACTTGCAATTTGTTATCATCATCATGAATAGTAAATCATCATCATCATCGTTGTCCTCATCATCACCATCATTATCATCGTTATCACCACCAATCATTCATCACCGTCTCCATCATCACCACCATCACCATCATCATCTTTTTTATCATCATCTTCTTTTTCCGCATTTTCCTTCTTTGTCTTCTTCTTCTTCAGCCTTTTCGCCATCTCCACCTCCCTGTCCAGCCTTTTTAATTCATCATCTTCATCCTGAAGAGTGTCAGACGTCTTCATCATTTCCCCCTTCTCTAACTCCACATCCAATAGACGACTCGAGTCGATCTCAATGTCAAGGTCTTTCATCTCCATCGGAAGTCGCTGGGCGTCGACGTGTGATCGGTTGGTTGGTTGGATGGTTGGTTGGATGATTGGATGGTTGGTTGGATGATTGGATGGTTGGTTGGATG